GTGCGATGAAAGGTGGAGCGGGCGGAGGCAGCTGCCGCTATGTCCCAGCAGGAAGCCTGAAGCCGGGTGCGTTGGTCATGCTCGATTCAGGGGAGCCCGCGGCCCTCACGGGCGTAGCATCAGAAAGCGGAGACCATGAGGTGCTGAAGCTCGCATTTAAGCCGAACCGGTCTGTCGCAGTCTTCTCATGCCCGCCCTGCATCCTCAGCAAGGGCGCCAACAGCAAGCCGGCGATCCGCCGCGCTAAGATGGGGCTGCGCCGAGGTCAGGGATCGACGGCGGCGGAGGATGCAGATGACGGCAGAGCCTCCATGCCGAATACGGCCGGAACATCGACTGAGATTCTGCTCAGGGGGGCAGCATGATGAAGAAGACACCGATGCAGTCCTGAGCCATCCTGAGCCAGCCAATTCGCGATTCTCCGGTCGTGTTGTCAAGGTGTTCAGAGCACGGGGCCCCTTAATCGCCAGTGCCTTTCGCTGCTTGAGTTGTGGCCGGAGTCGCCGGAGTGCAGCGCACGCCGTTCCAAGTTCACGAGCATCTAGCTTCTTCCATCTTCCGTTTCTCGAGCTTGGGGTTGTGCTTCCCTCTGTATACTCCATGTACAGTAGAGCATGATTCAGGTGGTTTCTCACACTTATACGGACTTATACGGACAGTTCAGCAGGAGGGTGACGGGCAGTGCCGGCACGAAGGCTTTGCATGCATCTTCCAGCGGTGTGTGGCTCGCAGCTTTGCTTGTCCTGCGCAGAAGGTCGCAGCTAGACTCGTAGTCAGTCGTAGACCTAGAACGATCCGCGAGTTGACGAGGCAAAAAAACAAGGTCCGCAAGGTCTCTTCAGAGATCATCGCAAGACCCCAAATATGAGCACTTCCGCAGCCCCTCCACGTCTTCTTTCCCTGCCCACATACAAAGCTCCAAGCTCCACCCTCACAAACTCCATACCCTATAGTCGTTCCGAGACCCTGAACGTCGCTAAACCCTATGGGCCCGAATCCTAAAACAACCAGAAGCACCACCACCGCCCAGGACATCGCGGAAGGCCCCCTGCTGCCTTTCCACTACCGGCTGCTGGGTTTCGGAGCCGACCCAGAAAGGGCGCAGACCGCGATCCTCGAGTGCCGGGCCTTCTTCGGTAAATGAGGCGGCCGAGGACCGCCCCTGGAAGCTTGCTCCTACGTGGGGGGTCTCCTTGAACTTGGGGGGCGTGTAGCCACAATGAAGCAGGGGAGCATCCGACGATTTTGGGGCTCATGTTCTGGGTCACCTTCTCCCTTTCTCGTGAAGCTGCCGTTTAGGAACATAGAAGCAAGGATTTCCTGCATCAGGCATTCGTGCTCGTGGACGGCCTTTGATTTTTCAGCTATAGAGACAGACAGCAGTGCACAACACCCTACGGCTTCAGAAGTTCTCGAAACAACGGGTCTCAAAGGCCCCATGCCGGGATCATCGCAAGCCCCTCAGTCCGATCCCCTCCACGGCCGCTCCATGTTGTCTTTTCCCTCTCATTCACAAAGCTCCAGCGCCAAATCGTTCCCTCACAAACTCCATGCCCTTGTCGTCCCTAGACCCCGAACGTCGCCAAGCCCTAAGCCCGACTCCTAAAACAACCAGAAGCGCCAGCAGCGCCCAGGACGTCGCGAAGGCCCGCTGCTGCCGGCGGCTGGGTTTCAGAGCCGACGCGGCGATCCTCGAATGCCGGGCGGCCTTCTTTGGTAAATGAGGCGGCCGAAGGACTGCCCTTTGAGGCTTTAACCTACGTGCCGGGTCTGCTTCAACTTGGAGTGATATCCGTAGTGAAGCAGGGGATTTGAGGCTCTTTTGCTTGTGGGCCTCTTCGGGGATACTTATCTTCAAAGCTATCGATGGTCGCTTTCCCTTGAGGCGTCTCCCGCCCCTTTTCTTTCCGACTCCTTGGTCCATGAAGGAAGCTTGAGCCCCCGAGGCCTACCCTGGAGTCTATAGTCTCTCTAAGGGCGTGTAAGACGCAAGATATCTCAAAAAACTTTCTGAGCCTTGAAACCCGGAACCCCATCCTCGTAACCTATAGCCGATGAATCCCAAACCCCCTTCGGCCAGGCGGCTTCCTCGGAGCGCCTCAGGAAGACTCCGGCAAGCTGGCAAGGCGTGTTGGTTGACAAGTATGAACACTGGGTGTTTTCAGTGTTTTTTGGGTGTCAGTGTAGCTTGCGAAGAGGTTTCCACTCTTCCCATACGGACCTATAGCCATGCAAAGATCAGAAACAAAAGCCTCCAACCCTTCCGAAACCAGAAACCGGAGAACCGCCCGCCGTTCCCACGTAGCCTCTGGGCTTGTGTGCGTTTTCGAAGTCTGTCCAAACTGGGTCTAGGAGTTTCTGAGCGTTTAGGTTCGAGCTTGGGATGACTCCAACATTCCTTCACTTAGAGGATTCTTCACTCCACACCTTGAGAAACAAGTTTATGAAATCACAGGCTGCTTGGAGCTCAACCGGAAAGAGCTCTGGGGCTTTGGAAGGGTTGAGAGGTTTCGGCTTCAAGGTTTCAAGTTCAGCCGTAAGGAAACCATCGAGGGCGACGACCCTCCCCCTGAACCCGCACCGAGGCGATGTGGAGCTGCCCGAGGAGCTGGCGGAGGGGGTGGGCGTCCACCCCAGGAGGGAGCTCCAGATCCATCCTGCCGCTGGGATGAGGGCTCAGGATGCTCAGGATGGCTCAGGGGAGTGCTTTTGGGATGGCCTTCCGGAGCTAGAGCTGGCATTCTGCTTTCTCGGGGACTGTGGTGTGTACCTTTAGGCTCAAAGACGAATCCAGCACCCGAAACTCCGCAGCATGTTTCAGTTCCTGATGCGCCAGCGGCAGTCCGAAGCACAATATCTCGTTCAACTGACCGAAGTCCCGGCCGGCTGGCCCCTCGTGACCGTCATAGATGCCTTCGTCAACTTGGCTGTTTATGATTTTGAAAACGCGAACAGAGCTCGCGAGGCGGTGAGCCATCGGCTGGTGGATTTGTGGGCCTCGCAGCCGGCGGAGGCGGAGGCCTGGCTCCAGCGGTGCCGGGAGCTCTTCGCAACGGGCCAGGAGACGAGGCCGGAGCTCCTCCGCGAGGCGCTGCTCTGGCACGGGGCGGCCGAGTGTGGCAAGTACGGGTGGTGCGGCTGCCGCCTCTCCGAGGCCGGGCTCCTGCGAGGAGCGCCGCGCGGCTCAGCAGCGCAGCGGGAGCGTTGTGCGGCTGAGTACCTGCAGGGGCCCCACATCCGCGACCGCTGCCGGGAGCTCGCGGAGCGGCTCGCGGAGGCCGAGAGCCAGGAGACGGCGCGGAAGCGGCAGAAGCTCGAGGAGGAGACTTCCGAGCGCCGGCGCCTCGAAGCGGAGCTC